ATGCAGCAATGCAACATGCAGTAATGCAACAAAACCTTCACCAACCGTTTTTCAAATAGCTGTATATTCGTGTACGCATGCTGGTATTTTTCTCATATATTGACTTCAGTAGTAACTAACCGCGAATTGTTATTTTTAGTGATTAGGAGAACGCTTTAAAAACATCTGCAATATATTTCTTACTATTTTTAATTTCAAAACGATAACATAAAGTATTTTTGATAATTACGTTTTCTGATAAATCGATATCTAAATTACTTAATCATATAGGAAATCTCACGATCTCGAGTACAATTCGGAATTTATAGGTACGAGTGATGTTTTGAAAGTTTTCAAAATTGGACGAGCCTTTAGACGAGTTCAGTTTGAGAACTTTCAAAACATCACGAGTATCTAAAAATTTAGAATTGTACGAGAAGATGGTGCGATTTTTGGTTTATAATAAACTTAACAAGACTGAGCAGCTTAAAAGGGACTCTACAGAGTACAATTTGGGATTTAATTGTACTCCTCTTGTCCAATCAGAATGGAGTAATTGTTTTGAGTGTATTATGAATATAAATATTGCTCGTAGTAGTTGTGCATAAATATTTTTGTAATAAATTTCTTATGTTTTTATTTTACGAAAAGAAAGTTTTTATTTGGTTAATAATTCTGTTCGAATTTTTAATCACTTCGTCTTTTGTTAAGATATTGATCGTTGTTGTCAAGGTTGTGGTGTCGTTGCTGGCTTTTTCGTGTTGTTTGAAGTTTGTGTTGGTATATTGTTGTGATTACTAATTTGATTTTTCATCTTGTTATTGAAGGTTGTGGTGCTGTGTTTGGGTCGCGTTGTCATTAATCGTTTATTTTTTTTCGTGTTGTTGTTGAAGGTTATTTGCTGTGTTTGTGTCGTGTTGTCGTTACTGTTTTTTTCGCAGTTTTCTGGTGTAGTTTTGCTACCAATGTTGTGGTGGAAGCGTTTTTTTTCCTGCCCCCTATTTACTGTTACACCTTCTGCTGCTTTCTTCTTTCCCCTATCCCATGCATATTGTTTCTATTCAGATGTTGTGTTTCAAATGTGGACGTTACTCATTACAACTCAAAAGACCACGATCATTCTTCGTTTATCCCATTTTATTTTCCTACTAATCCATCATCATTCTACTCAATGAATCGCATTTCTGTATCCATTGTTTATTTATGTACGACGCAGCACTACAGTTAAGGTAACTAAATGTTAACCCCAGTACACTATGACATTGTGTGACAACTCCTACTCTGGAAGAGAAATAACACGATGGAGGCTTGTAGCTGCTAGATTAGCTGTGCTGTTTGGCGATGATCCCCTGGTATATTGTGTTCAGCTTAATTGTCTGGAAAAAAGGTAAGAAGAATTAAGATAGTGAAAGTTTGGCAATACTAACAAGCGTAAAGTTATTTAAAAAGACGTCCTCAGAGCTGTGTAACCTTTTCCAATAGTTGACCCCTCAGCATCCCATAATGTCTTGATTATGACATTACAATTCAAGATGGCTGCCGGTGGAAAAGTACCAGCGTCTTCAGAGGGTCTTTTACGTCCGCCTTATCGAAGTTAGATGAAGTGAAGACAGACGGGGCCTAAAGTTTCAAAGACCTTTTTTATTGAAAACAATTGGGCAATTATTCACATTTTTGTCAGATTGCACTATCTTGCTTCCATGCACATACACGCACGGTTACCGTTTTAGGATGGCGCAGGAAACTGTGAAGGAGACTATACAATTTACGACCGCAATTCCTACAGCTTTGACAGATACAAGATTATGTTATGAAATGAGTGCCCTATATATGCATCGTTCGAGCAAAGACCAAGAGAAAGGTGAGAAGAAAAAAATTATATGTGTTCTATAAATAAATGTATGCAGTTAAGTTTACCGCGGGGAAAAAGGGATGAATTTATATAGCGCCATTCCCAGTAGCTCAATGGCGCTTAACAAGATCAATGGAGGACTTTACTAGCCTCCTTTGCAGCCGTTCTTGGGGTCGTCACGCAACGTTTGCTAGGACTTTACGGGCTGCATATTAAATCAGCTTATCATTAAACCAATCTGCCTATCATTAAACCAATACAATCTTTCCGGTTGGAAATGCGTTTGCTAACAAAAAGAGCGGCAAATTTAACTTTGGATCCCGGTAAATCGCACACACGTCTATCGGAAGAACCAAAAAGAACAGAAGACCGAGAGTTTCCTGAACTTTTTGATCGGAATGACTACCGATTCCATTTGTTTTCCAACGAGAATTTCCGGTTTTTCTGGATTAACGGTAACCATCGAATATCATTGATACTCTAGGGAATGACACATGGCTTAAAACGGGGAAACATTTGCCCAAGCTAGAAATGTTTGTTGAAATTTTGTCATATAGAATCTCAGTCCTAATAATTACGTGGGTGCTGGTGTCGGCATTATGTTACCCAACTAACGGCTTTACACGGAAGAAACAATGTCCTTTTTAATAGCGTTATCATTTCAGTAACGACTTTCGTCAATATTTGGCTTTCCTCGGACAGAAATAGTGGCTTTATTTGCTTAATTAATTTGAGTTTCCCCGTGTTTGTTAAATAAACTTGGATTGATATTTCTATTAAACACCAGGGACCGGTTGTACGAAGCCTGGGTAGCGCTATCCGACGGATAAATCTTATCCAGTGGATAAATTTATTGGATAACAGCATCGACTTATCCACTGGATAAGGATTTATCCGCCGGATAGCGCTATCCAGCCTTCGTACAAGCAGTCCCAGGTCGCTAAACAGAAATGCCTATATATATTCAAGGTGATCATGGTATTACTGTATTAATTTTCCAAGACAATTCTCTATTGATTTATATCGTTAGTCAAAAGGAAATGCCTAGCATGGGACCTAGAGTCCCGTTCGTACTTTCCTCTTTGGATAGCATGTTGCTTCTGTTATAATTTTCCTTCCTGATTGATACCAAATAAAAGTTGTAAATAAGAAAAAATAGTACTAAAGATAACGTACGAAGCACACTGCCAAAAAGTGTTAACATGTATTCCGGCTTGAGCGATTTCTTTCCTTTTTGAATTCTTTCTTTCTTGTCCTCAACATCTGTGTTGTCTGCATGTACAGGCTACTGAAGCAATTACTTAGAATTATGTGAGCACTCGCCCTAGAGAGAGATCGCGGCTGAACTGTTTTTTATTGCTCGTCAGCTTTTTATCTAAAACAGTTGATAGATAGATAATTTGTAACACCGTATGGTATGTAAAAATGAAACTGACGTTTCGGCCTTTATTCCTTCATCGGAGTAAACGAGAGATGAATGTGGAAATGTGTTTATATAGTGAGCGTGGATGATAAATAACCAATGAGAGATGAGTATAAGGGAAAACAAAAGGAAACAAGAGGATCGAAAGTAACAATAGACTAATTAAACGAGAAGCTTATACTTATGCTTATACTTATCTCCCATTGGTTATTTATCATCCACGCTCACTATATAAACACATTTCCACATTCATCTCTCGTTTACTCCGATGAAGGACTAACGTCCGAAACGTCAGTTTCATTTTTACATACCATACGGTGTTACAAATTATCTATCTATCAACTGTTTTACTGAAAACACCGACGCAGTTTACACTAGTTTTCACTAGTTTTCCAGCTTTTTATCTACTTTATCTACTTTACATGTTTGAGATCTACCTTTTATACATTCTAAACCCGTGGGAATTTCTCACGGTATATCACAAAAGTTACGTTAATACTGAGTAAATGAAAGATATAGATAAAGATTATAATGTATTATTAAGATATAGATATAATTAAGATACATTTTAACTCTAATAGTTGTGACTTCAATTTTTGGATTTGTCACAATTATTGCAATATATATAGAAGACTACTAAAAAGGCCAAACAAAGTCATCAATCATCACTCGCTACCCTCACGAGTGCCGAAATTTTGTTCCCGACTTCTCATCGATCATTTATCGTCAGAATTTTTTTCAATGAATTCTCATTCGTTGCGTTTCAATCCTTCACAAATCTTACCGGCATTTTTCTTGGTGAGAGATCGTTTCCTCAGAACCCGCTGAGGAAAGATGTCTTCCCAATAGTTCCCAGAATTCCGTTCGTTTGGTACCCCTCTTTCGTTCATAATACCATTCGATTCACCTTGCATGGTTCTTCCCCATCGAAGTCCCTGTGCGTGGGTGTCGCTTACAAGAGAGAGAACCACTAAGCATGAGACAGCGAGGATAATGAAGAGTCTGGCTTGAAACATGATGGTGATGGGTCTAAAATGGAAATGGTAATTTTGAAACACGAAGTAGAGAAGAAACGGAAAGTGCGCTTTCTCCGCCATGTTCCGTGTTGGTTATGACACAAAAATGGCAGGGAGATGTTACAGCATTAACTTCTCTTCTGTTCTCTTCTCTTCTGTTCTCTTCTGTTCTCTTCTGTTCTCTTCTGTTCTCTTCTGTTCTCT